TAAATGACATTGACACCTGTCAGATAGGGAGGGGACTAGGTAACTTGATATATGTGAAATTCTTGTACATTCCTACTGTGGATTTAAAAATATTGTGGTGGCATGTCTGCGCACAGAGACGGCAAGTTTTATCATAAAATTAATGTAAGTTAATTATGTTATTTTAGTTGTATTTAAGTAATTGAATATATTTCTTAGAAATTATTGTTTTTTTTTATTTACTACGTGTGTCCCAAATATATAATTAAATGACAAAATTACTTAAAATGGTTTGATAAATCAAATTCTTTATGGTTTATAGATATTGGTATAAATGTTGGTGTCATTCAATGTAATTAATTCTTGTCTCCTCTAGTTTGGCACACATTTCAAACATTGACTTGTGTTAAAATACTATAGACGCCAAGCGTATAACTGCCAACTCTGCTTACCGTTCTTTCAAGGTTAAAATCTAGAGGATTTAAAATATATAGACGATGAATATTGAAATTTTTCACCAGTACTTTCACTGAAAGGTACTGTTTCAGTTGTCAAGTTTAGTACGCCATCTTGTGTCCTTGTATTGTTAAATTTTACAAAATTATAATAAGCTCTATCTTTTATTTAAAATAAAATATAAGCCATTTAAAAATTATTTAGTGACATCTTTTGGCAAAAAATTAAATAAGTGATGATTATGTGAAAAATATTTCACACTACAAATTTCACTAACGCCCTCTATTGATAGACCCTTAAAACCATTTATTGTATTTAAACTGATTGCCAATAGATGTCACTGAAAAATATATTTCTTTGTTTGGTTCTATAACAGAAGATGGAGCCTATTTCAATTTTGTAAATAATAATTTACATGTCAAAACAAGAACACGAGATGGCACTAAACTTGACACTGATATATAAAGAAAGTACCGGTGAAAAAGTTTTGTTCAGTATGCCTTGTCTATACATTTTAAATGTGTTTGGGTAAAATGAAAGAAAAATACATTTTATGAAATAAATTAGTTTATTGCGACGTCACAGATGTTGTTGACGCGTCTCGTGTGTAAATGTTTGCTCCGTAACGATTGACTCAACAGTATAAATAATAAAAATAATTTATAGTAGCAATAAGTTAATGGATTGGTTACAAAACAGTACTGCGGACGCGGCCGGCCCGCGCCCGCGGCCTCGCCCCTCCAGCGCGACCTCGCCATCGCCCTGCGGACAACAATATTGATAATCATTTAAATCAATATCTCCATTAAAGTAAAAAAAAACAAACGAACAGTCATTTTTGTGAGTTAAAGACTTTGGGGTGCTAAAGAAGTAATATGAAATATATATCTTGTTTTTAAACATTAATGAAACCTACTTATTCCTCCTCTTCTTCTTCCTCTTCCTCTTCCTCCTCCTCCTCCTCTTCGACCTCTTCCTCCTCGACGACCTCCTCCTCCTCTTCCTCGGGCTCGGGCTC